CGTTTCCCGGTACGCACACACAGTCCTAGGATCACGTGAAACAAACGTGGTTCGCATCGTGGGACCCATTAATTCCTGCAGAAGTTTCTCCTTCATATATAGCTGTCGATTTACAGCAGCCATGCGGCGACGCAGTACAGAGATACGACGCAATAAATCAGCCTGATCACGCTTTCCGGGTGCAACCAACATTACAATCTCATCAATACAGTCAACCTCACTAATTAGCGAAGTTGGATCAGGGAGGTATGTCTCACAGGTAAAGCATATCAGTGCACACAGAACTGCAGAGCCTCTTAAGATATCAACAGCACCATGAGACTCACGGCCCATGGGCTGTCTCCCTTGACGTTTGCGGCCTCCTTCCACCTCCACATGACACAGCAGTTCTGCCAAACCCACAAACGGGGCTGTGTGCACTGTCACGAGACACCGTTCGCTGCATGCAAACGAACACGAGATGGCATCCCCCTCCGCATCTCCATCGGCTGTGGAGGTGGAGGAGAGACCCCGCCCCCGCCCCCGCGCACACGCGAGACTCCCAATGAGATATTGCCCCTTGACCGGCTGCAGCTCCACCACATCCTCCGCGTCCGCGTCAAGCACCGCCTCCATCTGACTCGACTGCATCTCGGGGAAGAGCAGCTGCAGCACACGCCGGTTCTGCTCCATCCCAGTTCCCTGCAGATCCACCCACATAAAAGAATTATCCTGGCCAGTAGAGAGTTTTCGTGTAAATGATAGCGCCCCTTCAGCTGAATCAAATTTTTGAACTTCCACAGTTTCACCGGGCGACTGCCGTGTAATAATGCAACATGGTCTTGTCCTATGAACATCTAATCCACGGCTTACCCCCACTACTACGTCGTCCGTCATCATCACTGTTTATCAGGGGAAATATTGTTTGACCAAATGGTATTACCTAGGATATTTTTAGAACTCTTTGAGTGAAAACTTTGTGGAGGCAAAACGAAAAAGAAAAAGAAAAAAAAAAAATCATTATTTCAGAAACTAGCATATGGACTGAAAGAATAATATATAGCCCACACATATACAAAAAAAAAAAGAAAAAAAATTCGAGAGCTGTACTGAACTCCATCGACCTTTTTTTTGTTTTTTTTTTTAATTAATAAATGATGACATCGTACCCAAAAGAATTAAAGAGGAAACACAAAAACCAAAAAAAACAAATACAAAACCCTTTTTTTTTTTTTTATATATATATGGGTGATTAAGGTCTCTGGTTATTAAAACATGTATAAATTTCATTTTTTTTTATTTTTTGAGGGGAAAAGGGAAAAAACAAAAACTTTGACGAGAGTGGGGTTTGAACCCACGCCCTCGGAAGGATTGGAACCTTAATCCAACGTCTTAGACCACTCGACCATCTCGCCACGTCCATAGTCGTAGGACTCCTTATTCATTCTTTTTTTTCTTTTCATATTTCTCTTCCACAGATCATTTCCCCATCGCAGTAATTCTCTTCTGATCTCTCTTTTTTTTTTTTTTTTCTTTTTGGTCAACATTTTATTGCCACTCTTTTCCTTTCCGTTATCATTTCCGGTAATGGGTTGAAGGATGAAAAAAACAATTCCCCTCTGCAATGATGGTAGAGACCAGTAAAAATTCATAGAAAGACAGAAATCGTAGCAATCTGGTTTGATAAACATCATTCTCTTATCTAACCTTGCAGATGACTGTGACACATACGCATGGAGATACGGCATTCACAAAATTGAGGTTGACATGACTGAGTGTATCACGTGCTGTCTCCAGACGCTCCAATACCTGCGAAAGTTTACCCTGCGTTTCCCGGTACGCACACACAGTCCTAGGATCACGTGAAACAAACGTGGTTCGCATCGTGGGACCCATTAATTCCTGCAGAAGTTTCTCCTTCAATATATACAGCTGTCAATTCACAACATCCCTTCCACTGAGTCAAACTTTTGAACTTCTACAGTTTCACCGGGTAACTGCTGTAGAAGAATGCAACGCCATATATCCTGCATGTTCTCCATTATTTTTAGACCAGACGTCCTATTTTAGATAATTCTTTCTCTGATGAAGTGTTTGCTACAGTTTTAAGGTGCCTTATAAGTGTTATCCTTTTTTTTGCTTTTTCTTCTTCTTTCTTCTTCGATTAGCTACCACCCCCCTAAAACAGTTAGAACACGATTCTTTATTTTTTCCCCCATGGAGTGTAAGAAAAGAGAAAAGAAAGAAAAAAGAAAAAAACATACTAATACGATACTTTTTTCTCTCGTTTTTGTAAGGAGGTATATACCCCGTTTTCTTTTATGAAAAGGAGAGGTTCGTGATGCTCCTCCACATCCTCCTACTCCTCCTTCTCCTGCAGAATGGAGAGAATAGCAAACAGCATTCTTATTCTCATGTGCAAACAACTAACACAGACACACAGACACAGATGTAGAAGTCCAAATAGAAATTTCAGATAGAAAGACCAGCATAGACAACGGAAAGATGGCGCAAAAAAGAAAAAAAAAAAAGAGTCGACTATATGAATGGTCTTATCATAATGTTATGCCACTTCCCTTAGAAGACTGGAATCATTTTTTCTCATCTTCGCGCTTCACGTCAACGCGGTAAAGAAGAAGAATAGGCCAGGATGTCCAATAACAATAATAATAAAGGCAAACGAGAAAAGACCAAACACAAAGAAGGAAAAAAAAGGAAAAAAAGAAGCAAAAAAAAGGAGAAAAAGCGAAAGAATTAAATAAAGAACACTTCTGCCCTATCCCCTTATCCAGAAACAAACTTAAAAACAATAACAAAAAAAAAAGAAAAGAATTTTTTTCCTCAACCAATGCGTAAAATATTGTTTACTTGCATCCGTATGTGTCGCTCCACTCTTCCAATGCCTTTAGCTGCTTGAGACAGCAACTGGGGTGACGCGCCTGCACGCAGACTTCCACATCCTGCAACGTTAGCGGTCGTAGCAGATTGTGGTGTAAAACATTTTCACCTAAATCTTCTCCATTTCGAAGTTTCTCTGCGAGCAACTCACGAACTGGAATCATCGCCGCCTCTTCGCAGAGTTGCCGCAAATCATGCCCGCTATATCCATTTGTAAGGTCTATAACCCGTTGCCATGCTACTGGTGTGAGGTTGTTAGGAGTTTCTTCTGTATTCAACAATGACTTAAGTATCTGTTCACGTGCAGCCGCATCAGGTAACGGCACAAACACACGTTTTGGAAATCGCCGAATAATTGCCTCATCAAGATCAAAAGGACGATTTGTTGCTCCCATCACTAAAACTCGTGCCTCATGATTGTCATTACCAGCCCCATCCATCTGCACAAGAAACTCTGTCTTAATACGGCGAGAGCCTTCTCCCTCGTGTTGGCTACCGCGTGCCTGCAACAATGCATCAATTTCATCCACAAATATAGTGCTTGGTGCTAAAGCCCTGGCAACAGCAAACAACGCTCGCACCATCTTTTCGCTCTCTCCAACCCATTTACTGGTAATTGCAGCAGCGGAGATGCTGAAAAAAGTTGTACCACACTCCTTTGCTACGGCACTGGCAAGAAGTGTCTTACCATTACCTGGAGGTCCAAATAACAAAAGTCCCGAACATGGTCTTCGTAAACCTGTAAATAGTTGTGGACACTTCGCAGGGAGAATAATCGCTTCGTATAAGATCCGCTTGCACACCTCAAGTCCAGCTATACTATTAAAACTGACAGGGCATGCCCGATCCACAATTTGTTGTAGAACCGCCACACATGTCTCTTCAGGAATACCATTACAATATGAACTTTGCTTAATACGTTTTAACATTGGGTCAGTACTATTAGTATTATTAGTATTAGTAGTAGTATTGCGATTGGCAGCAGAATTAGATGATACAGATGACGAAGAGGGTTTAGAAAAGCGTCCAGAGGATGTAGTCGTAGTCTTTCGTCCTGTAGGCACTACCGTTGTGGTGGTACGAGTCATACCGGCGTCATTTGGACGCGGAGGAAGTGGAGGTGGAGTTCCAAATGTTCCATCACTCGCGAGAACACCGCTACCCGTCTTTCTACAGGGTATATCATCGCGAGGTATTTTACTTTGCCGTGAATTGCGGGTATCCAGTGAAGAAGGTCGATTAATTGTTGTACGACGATCTTGATGACTCGGATGCTGTTGTGGTTGTGGTTGTGGTTGTTGATGTTGTTGTTGCTTCTGTTTCTTTTGTTGTTGTTGAGTACACCGTTTCTCATCCAGTTCTGTCTTCTTTTTTTCTGTATCATTTACTGTAACGGTTGTGGTTGTAGGTTTGGTGGAGTTCTGACTATTATTATTCTTTTTGCTCTCAGATAATAAAGGTCTTGAGCGGGTTTGAGGTGTAGGCTTTGTAAAATTAAACGTCAATTCAACTCCATTTTTCTTTTCTTTAGTGATATCTGAAACAACTGTCTTTGCACTCTCACGTACCTTCTCTGGTGGTCGAATTCCATTTGTTGAAGATCGCAGGGAGAGTGATGGACTTGATGTGGTGGCAACACAACTATCATGAGAGTCTACATGACCATTTTTTCCCATGTTACTCGTGTAGTCTTCTTTATTGCTATTATGTTTAGTGATATCTTCCGTTTTGGTAGGTCCATCACTAAAATAAGTATCCCAGTCTGGCTTAGTCCGTTGGCGAAATGCAGCTCGCATTGGATTAATGACAGTTTCACTCTTTGTAGGCAGATTTAACCTACCCTCAGTCTTTTTTTGTGGTGGACTCTCATCATCTAACAATAAGGTTCTATACTTTTTGCATTTTTCAAACTTAGGAGGATCAGGAGAATCATCAAGATTAATAATAACAGCATTGGAAAGAGGTACAGAAGGTGATGCTGAGATGAGTTTCTGTAATGGTGTTGATGGTGGTGGTTTCCGATTATTTTTAAGAAGTACAGCATTGTCTGACTCATCTACTGCATTGCCTTCTGCGTCTAGTACTAAACGAGAACGTTTCAAAAATCCCTCAGGAACATCATAAGAACGTCGTCCTTGATCATTCCTTGTTCCCGCTATTGCCGCTGCTGCATTGGGCAGGAGATTCATCTTCTCCACATCCTCTATACTTACATGACGCTGCGGAACGGTTCCTCGCCTACTCCACTCCTCCAGCATATCGAGTAGTAATAAGCGTCCAACTTTATGGGAGCCGTTACTCAAAACACTACTGTGACCACCAGCTTCTGTACTCATATGTTTCTTGGCTTGCTCGCAGAATTCTTCGACTTTGCGTCGTCCTGCACCTTTCAACACTACGAGAAACTCCGCATCACTTTCTCTTGTGGCAAATACTCCACCAATGGAGTTAATTAAATCACGTGCTCGTTTAACGTCATTCCCACGCCCTGTAAGGGCAAAGAGAGGAGCACCTGGCATTTCTCTCTCTCTCTCTCTTCCCTACCTCTCTCTTTCTCTCTGTATGTATACTTGTATAAGAATTTATACTACAGACACAAGTGTGTATGATGTGTTACTCTGTGTAAAATGTGCTTCTATTCGTTTTATCTCGTTTTTTTTTCTTTTTTTTCCTTTTAAATAGGCCTTGATTGATGAAGGTTTGCCGCTTGCGCTTAGCGGCCGTTCTACTCTAGGTAATATGGTGATGTTGCCCTTCTTCTGGCTTTTTTAGCGCTATAAGCCATACCAGAATGAAGAACCAAGAATCGAAGCGGGGAAAAAAAAAAAGATAACAACACAGACAGAATGAACCAATAATAATAATAACAAGAATAATAATAAACAAAGCAAATAGGAATCTTAAAAAAAAAAAAAAAACAGTCAGTTACAGCATCGGTAACGCTGATGCAAAGAAAGCATTTTTTTTTTTTTTTTAAGAGAGAAAGAGTATCAATATTTGGTAATTTTTTTCGTTCGTCAGTAAGACTTGGTAGTAGTGATGATATTGGTAGTGGTAATGGTCAATTATATATATATCTTTATTCCTTCATTTCTCTCCATTCCACAGATACCCACAAACACTTGCATACTACTCGACTAGGTTGTACAGTCAATACTCAAATATTTATGGATCTTCAAGAATGATATGACAAAGAGTACTTGTGACGTAGCCCACCTTTTGCTGCTATTTTTTTTTTTATTATCTGCTTGCCTGTACGAGGTTGGATTGTAATACGCGTCATCATCATTATTTATCATCACTATTATTATTTTTTTTTTTACCTCACTTTCTCCTCATCCTCCATGAGGGAGGATAAGAAGAACAGCAAAACATACACAATGTGAGAATCATTCTTCTGTAAGGGCTCTTTTCCACGACGACGACAACAACGACCACTCCTCCCCCTCTCCCCTCTCTCTCTCTCTCCTCTTAGTCCAACAGGCGTTCCACCGCCTCCCGCTGCGCCGTGGTAAGCAAACTAGGGAGTTCTACATGGTAAATAACGTATAGATTTCCCTTTTCTGATGGGACGTGGTGTTTTGGCATGCCCTCCCCTTCGATAATCTGCCTATCCCCATGCTGAGTGACCCCTGTGGCGGTGAGTTCGACTACATGCCCGTCCAGGTGTGTGAGGCGCCTCTCAAAGCCCAGCAGAGCCTCCTTCAGCGTGAGGGTGACGGTGGTGGTGAGGTGGTCCTCCTGGCGGGTGAAGAGCGGGTGGGGGGCGGTGGCGAGGGTCAAAATGACGTCCCCCGGCACCTGCCCGGGCTGCTGGTCGCCCTCGAGCTCAAAGACCAGCGCGAGACCCTCCGCCGCCCCCCGCTCCACGTCGACACTCAACGCCGCCGTCCCCCGCACGACCCCGCGCCCCCCGCACGGCTCGCACCGCCGCCGCACCACGCGCCCACGACCCCCGCAGTGCCCGCACGCCTGCGACAACTGCTGCACAAAGCCGGGCGCCAACTGCACGCGCCGCACCACGTGGCCGCTCCCCCCGCAGTGCTCGCAGGTCTGCAAGTCACTACGGCTGTGGGCCCCGCTCCCGTGACAGGCACGGCAGATTTTGGTCCGGGGGAGACGCACCGTGTGGGCAGCCCCAGTATACACATCCGCCAACGGCACAAGCAACAGCATATCCTCATTCTTCCCACGATCTGCGGACTGGGATGAGGCCCCACCGCCAAAGAAAGCAAAGAAAGGATGCATCTGTTGTTGTTGATCCTCCGGATGCTCAAAACGCTTCAGTCCATCAACACCAAGAATATCATACACCTTACGCTTTTTGCGATCTCCAAGTACTTCATAGGCACGTTGAATCCGCTGGTACAATTCTCGCTGTGACTCTCCAGCAAGGTCAGGGTGATGCTTCTTAGACAGCCGTCGCCATGCAGATTTAATATCCCGCTCACTCGCATCTTCACGCTCCTTGCTAAGACCGAGAACCTCGTAAAAATCTTCTTCACCTCCATCAGTTTCCGCTGCAGAGACTACCCCCTGCAGTTGAACTAGTACTAGCAAAAGGGCTAGCAACAACAACAGTCTTGACATAAGAGTGGTAGTAGTACGACGGTAAGGAACAGTGGATATAGTGTAGCCTTCGCGTCGCCACATTACAGGCAGCCCAAATATTCTTCTCGTTGCTAATATTATTTGTTATTTTTACTAAGTTCCTCTCTCTCTTCTTTGCAATTAGTCCGTCTTTCTTCCCTAGAAATGTACTGATATACTTCAGTCTCAGAGCCCAAATACTCCTTCCCTTCTCTCAATCAATTACCCACTCCCTCACTCACTCACTTACTCATAAATGGTAGTATTATCATAAATGGTAGTATTAGGCAGCAAGACGTTTTTGGTAAAAGAAGAAAGAAAAAACAAAAAACAAAAAAAAAGATCAGTGCTTAAAAGACTCAGTACAACCCAAGATAAGAACAAAGAAAATAAGAAGAAAAGAAAACAACAAAAACAAAAAAAAGACGTTATTAGTTACGCTAATTCACATATCAGTATACAGTTCGTCTCTCCCTTTCTCTCTCTCTTTCTTTGCACATGTCTATTGAATACCACTACCAATATCTCTCTCCTCCATCATGAACCATACTGTTCCACATATTGGAGAGACTAGTGCAGCAGAAATAATACACCGCATTGCTTCCTCTAATACCAAAGAAGCAGTTATTTCTCTTCTTGCTGGTTCTGTTTCCATAACTTTTGGCAATTTTACCTCCTCATCCTCATCCTTCTTCCTCCTTTGTTGCTGTTCTTGTTGATGATGATGATACTGTTGTTCCACGTATGTTGAGTGGATTCCTCCTGCCACCACAATAGTATAAGAATTCCATGCATCTCCAGATAACTTCACTACATGCATAGAGGAAAATAGACGCCGTGTAAGTGGAATGGATGACGGCACGCGAATTCTCTGCCAATACCCAGAAGCTGCATAATACACCCAAAGAAGCTCATCAAACGCACAGTGAATCCCAACTGTATTAGAAGAAGGAGAATAAGAAGAAGAAAAGGAAGATTTACTACCTCCTAAAAGAGAAGTAGATCCTCCAAAGATCACAAAAGCACCTTGGGGGTGTTCTGGTACAGCAGCAGCAGCATGACCGTAACGTGCACAAGGCCAATTCCAAACACCTTTCTCTCTCTCTTTACAGGTATTATCTGTATTATCCTCATTAACATTTATTACAGGAGATAGAGAGAGTAAACTCCATGTAAGACGGATCGTATGAAATACATAAAGCGAATCACTGAGTATAACCACAGTTTTATTATCACTATTATCATCTTTTTGTATTCTCTCTTGCAATCCACCAAATACATACATGTGTTCCTTCCATGCTACAGCTGTGTGACAGGCAATTGGTGGCGGTGCAGATGAAAGCGGTGTCTTAACAATACAGAAATCTTTAGTATTGGAATGAAAAGAAGAAGAAGAAAACTGTGTTGTTGAGTTTATTGTTTGATCAGTTTCCCGCTTTGGGTGTTGCATGGATGTCACTGTACTCCATTGTCGTGTGGGAAGATTCAGACATGTCAATCGATTAGAAAGAACTATACCAGATATAGAACCGAATTGCTGAACGGATGTTTGTCTACTATTGGCAGCTCGTTCTTCTATTGATATGGTCAGTGTTTCTTCTGTATTGATTTCATTCCTCTTTTGTTCTTCTTGTTTGTGTTTCTGTTGATTCTGCTGCTGCTGATCCTCAGTGTGGGGATTATTCTTAGTAACTTCACTCCACATACTCTGCGGAACAAAGCAACCACCAAAACACCATACCCTTTCATCCATCAACACAGCAGAGTGGAAAGCATGCTGAAACTCACCCTTCTCCTTCTCAATAACATCAAGAGTTTTTTCTTCTTCTTCTTCTGCTGCTTCTGCTGCTGCTGCTATTATTTTATCCTGAACTTTTATACCTTTCCCCTCTGATGTATACATAACATGCCAACTATGTCCTTGAATGTCGTAGAGGAGGAGATCATGAGATCCGGCGTAGATGTACTGTAGTGATCTCTCACTAACGGCTAATTGATCTGAAAACCTTCTTCTTCTATATCGTCTCTTTTTCCATCCACTTCCTCTGGGTGGTTGGGGCTTTGTTGTTATTGTTGTTGTTGTTGTTGTTGTTGGGTAGCAACCACCATCTATCACAATGTACCGGTTTTCATACAACCACGTGGTGTGTCCAACCCGACGGATGTGAGGATCTTGAGATGGAATAAAACGCATTATTGTTGACTCTTCTTTTTCTTTTTCTTCTTCTGGTGTTTCTAACGACACTAATTTAGATGATGATCGTGATGATAATGATGATCGTGATGTACTCCTTATCTCCATAGTAGTAGTAGTAGTAGTCTTCTTCCATTTAAAGTATATCTTTGGTGTACTGAAGGCTACAGCCCCTGTAGGGGAATGAAAGCAAACATGTTGTAGTTCACTTGCATCCCATTCGAATTCCTTCTTCATATCTACTCTGTAGACTTTTCCACCTCTTGCACACACCACACCACTACACGCTGTCTTATCTTCATTGTATTCATCTGCAAGACAGAAGAATTGTGAATTTATACGCATTGGGGTGTGAATATTATCTTGTTTATTTGTAGTTTCGTTCATTATGGGGAGAACAAGTGCGTGCAGACGGACACTAATTACATCAGAGGTGCTGTCACTACACAACATTACTGTGAAATCATCAGCAGCCGCAGCAGCCGTGGTGGCATTTGAGAAAGAAGAAAATTCTTCTGAAGTATTGGGATTTGTTTGAGATATGAGATGAGAGATTTGCCGCAAATCAAGTCGTTCAAACGACAACACACGTATAATATCCTCAGATGAAATACCTCCAATATCATGTAGTGTTTCTACACCAATATTATTATTATTATTATGATCATTCATAATAGTTTCTTCTTTTCCTTTACATTCTACTAAAAGGATATCAATTCCCAACCAATTCTCATCACCTCCATTATCATTATTACTATTATCATTATCATCATCACTACTGTATTGCCCGCTCTCATTTAAAGAATGTGTGTCCTCCAAGAGGAGTGTGTGTAATGGTGTGAGTGCCACCAACTCTTGCAATGCTCCTTTATTATTATTATTATTATTATCACTATCATTATTATTATTATTATCACTATCATTATTAGTCAATGTCGTTGTATCTATTGTATCCACCGCAACTGTAGCTGAGGGAAGAGAAGTAAGAACACGAGATTGTAGACGTGTTGTACTACACGATAATAAACTTAAATTCCCTGCTGGACAAAACACTAATCCCAGAGAATATTTATTACGTGATCGTTCCACACTATTTGAAGAAAGAACAGTAACACGCTGCACCTCCATACAAACCGATAACCGACGATCCTCACAAGCATGTTTAGATGCCGGCATATAAACAACAGGTTGAAGTCCTAAGCGTATACGTCCCACATCTTCTTGTCGAAGTACTTCACACTGCAGTGGATACCAATCTGTTACCATCTCTCCTATCGTCGCTCTTGTTGAATTAACAAGATCTCTCTGCATCCTACTATGCAGTTGTGCAAAGGCCTCTCGCAGAATAGCATCCACACGCAAGAATCCCAACACACATGTAAACTTATCTATATTAGAAAGTAATTGCCAGATAGTGAGACGTAATGGACGGCGATGATCCATCCACTGCCGCGGGGGAATACACCAATAAGACTCCATCCGCAATGTATAAAGAGGTCGTCGTGGTAATATATATAAAGAAGACATGGGAACTGCATTAGTGGAGAGAATAGGGAGTATATTCGAGTGTTCCTTCTCTTTTCTTTTCATAGAGTTGTGTAAATGTGGAGATCGTCCACGACGGTGTGGGCGTTTCTCTGCAGAGATGTGAACCAAAACAGGCACATCTGGATAAACACCAACACTACTACTAATATTATTATTATTATTATTATTATTAGTAATATTATTTGAAGTTGTAAGTATCACTGGCAAGTCACAGACTTCAATAAATGTTATTTGCCATGCTGGTAATTGTGGGGTATACCGCACACTTCTGCACATACCGGGAGATTTATTACTCTTCTCTTTTAAAGCACGCAACAGCATATCATTTAATTTCACTGCAGACGTATTATTATTATTATTATTATTATTATTATTATTATTATTATTATGATGTGATGTTGGTACTACATTTATCATTCTATCATGTTCAAAGGACCAGGCCATAGTAAGATGAGATGCCGTACATTCCGGGGTGGATCTTCTCATCTCTGTAGATTCAGTACTCTCCGTGAGTGTAAGCAGAACTTCTCCACAAACATCATTACAAGAGTCCTCTAATGTAAATATAGATGTATGTACCCCATAGAGTTTACTCTCTGTTGCTTCTGTTAATTCTGATTTTTCTTTTGATTTTGATAATTCCTCTGTGGTTGGAGAAGTACATCGTGTTTGACAAATGATATTCACCCGAACTGCATATCGCACGCATCCACTTCGGAGTTCTTCAATTGCTATTGGGCGAACAAACACATCATTGAGATAATGACAACTCTTATGATGATTATTATTATTGGATGTTATCATCCACGTTGCGGTTACAGCTCCACTCATTGGATCCACCGCAATTTGTGAGGCAAACATTTCACCTTTTAATTCCTCCCATTCCCAATCATCTATTATTCTTCTTTCTATTATTCTTTTACTTGTTGTGGATGATTCCCAACGTCCAAGAGATAAACGACAACTCACCAACAAATGACCCGCCTCCAAAGTTATTCCATTACCAACAGACTTTATATGATTTAGTTTAACTTTAACAGGCCAACAATGAAATGGTACATGTAGATGTGAATTATTCCCAATCTCAACATCATGTTTGATAAGTAAATGATGAGAAGGAGGACGGTGTGAACGGGCAAGCATAACTTCATATCCAGTGTTTGTAAACCGCAACCAATGTCCAGCAGATGAGTCCACAACACTTCTATTCATTAATGTAGTACTTGTATTTGTTGTTGTTCTTTCATTCTTTACTTCTTCTTCCTTTTCTCTTCCAGTCTTTTCTCTGTCTTTAAGAGCGAAGAGCATTGCGGTATCATGTGTGGTCCATTTGTGCGAGCCAACATGTCGCGTCACTCCAGCCGTCACTCGATCGTGCAGTTCAACCCGTTGAATAGATGCACCCATCGGCCAAACTATTGGTAGTAATAGAGATGCGAAGGACCACACACGGCTACTAGTAATAATAGTATTATTATTACTATTAGTATTAGTAGTATTATTTATCCCCTTCTTCTTCTTTTTTTCATTCTCTTCATAAGGAAGATGCGGAGGATCTGAAAAGATATGAAGAGTTAAATGACAAGTTGTCCCATTTGGAAAACGCATAAAAAAGAGAAGAAATGGATCTTGTAGAGGTGTACATGATTGTTGTTGTGGTTGTTGAGATACACGTAGTCGAATACATGTTAGCCACGTTCCAATCGTCACAATGGGATATATCCATATATACCGTATATGTGCATATGCCATTCTTCTTCTTGTTGTGGTGGTGGTGTTTTCTTCACCTTTTCCCATAATAGGTACCCATTGTGTTTTTATATTTTCTTGACGTTTAATTTCCATTATATTTGACTCCTTCATTATTGAGATATGGGCCACACCTTCACCAATAAGAAACATCTTGGATGATTTCTCACTATTATTTGCAGGGATGCGTGTTGACTGAAGAAGATGTAGTGAAAGGGATAATTCCACCATCTCTTTATGAGTGAACTCGGGAGAACAATTAAGAAATACAAGCGGTTTGGAGAAACTGCGAATTGTATAATTATCATTTATACTCGTTATAATATTCTTTTCATTTTCATTGGAGTTCTTTCCATTTTTATCTAGATGTGGATTATCCTTCTTTCTATTCTTCTTGTTTGTCGTCTTTTCATTTTCTCTTGATAACTCTACAGTAGGTGGTATAAGTAATGAAGACTCCGCCTTCTCCTCTCCACAGTTTAACTTTATATATACTACAGGTCCATCATTCCTTTGGATGATTTTCTTATCTTTACTGTTCTTCTTATTAATTTTTCGTTTCTTATCATGATTGGCACAAACAACACCGAGAAGTTCCGTCACTTCAACGTGAAGGGCGTGTGTAAAGAAAAGTTTACGTGGATCATACAATACACTTGATTGGGCTAACAGTTTAGATGAGATGTAGAGACGTCCAACAGGAATCCATGTACCTTCTTCTTCTTCATCATCTTCTCTTATACTATGATTATTTCCACTCTTTGTAGGGTTAGACATTAAACATTCGGTATACTCCATTAACTCTACAAGGAAAGTTTTATTAAACTTCTCACCAATCATATTAGAGCCTTGTAAAAGAAGAAGAAAACGTCCATGTATGGGTTGTGGTGATGATGGTTGTAACTCTTTCTTTATCCAACCCGTTACTTTTGATGTTGTAACAGGACGCAAGTAAACTTCTACTGTAGAGAAATTCTGTACAGATACAATGGCACTCCATTTCTTCATTTTATCTCTTAATGAAGTTGAAGAAGAATGATGATCATTATTATGATGATGATGATAATTAGAATGCTCTAAATATGTCCATTGATGTGTTTCTCTATTTATCCATCCCACCTCTGTTCTCAAGGAGAGTTCCCAATCTTCATTACTTGGTAACACTTTACGGCCGTGTATCTCTACACTGTGAACAGTGAATTCCATTAAAAGAATTTCATGTTGTGATGGATACTGAGGCGCCTGCTGCTGTTGTTGTTGTTGTTGTTTCTGCTGATTATGTAAATGATCCATCGCCTCCATGAGATGATTACTAATCACATTACTATCATGATTATCCCCTTTAATAGTATTAATAGTGTTAGTATTAGTAGTATTTTCTATCCATCTTTGTGGTTTCCCTGTGAAGACGGTCATTCCCTCGTATGTATACAGTGAAGACTGCAGGAGTGTCACTGTTAACATCCCACACGGTTGAATTTCCCCAACGGCGAATATCGGCACAGCCACAACCGCACGAGAAAACACTTCACTCACACAAAGACGACCAAATCCCAATACAGTAATATTATTAATATTATTAATATTAATAGTATTATTAATATTATTAGTAGAATGATGATCCTCTGTTGGTGAAGATTCACAGCAACATAACTTTATACACAAGGTGCCCTTCGCATTACGTAATGTAGGCAATAAACACAACTCCATCCAACAACAACGTCCCTGTGTGGAGTTAAATACAGCGAGACCCGTACGGGCTCCGTATTTCATCCCAACAACACCACCAACTACTTCTTCTTCTCGTTGTTTATATTGATATCGTTGTTGTTTATATTGATATCGTTGTTGTTGGGGTTTCTTTACTTCTTGTGAAGAAACGGAAAAGGATATTTCTGTGGAATTACACTCTTCCTCCTCCTCCTCCTCCTCCTCTATGTAGACCATGAGAGTTAATTCCTTTTCATTCTTTTTCTGCATCTCATTAAGAAATGAATCCTCAAGTGGTACAAAGTCATGTATCTGCAATGCTGTGTAAAGTGGAAAAGATGGAATAGAAGTAGACTCATCATCTTCTTCTTCTTCTTCTTCCTTTCTTATTCTTCTTCTTCTTTCGGTTATTTCTGTTGTTTCCCTCTTTTCTTGTAATGTTAACCCTTTATCCTTCTCTCTCTTATCCATTTCTATTTCTTCTTTTGAGAATGGATATGTAGATGTGGTCACTGACAATGGCCGTATATGATCCCAGGCAGCGGGTGTAAACCATCCCCATTGAATGAAGACTTCACCGACGAGAAGAGAAAAGCCGCCCATCATAATATCGAATCCAAACAGTGGAATCCAACGGCCAACACTCATTTCACCAGCAGGAGGGAAATCGGAATATCGCAATCGCAACATCGCAAAGGGTGTAATGAACGATGGTTCTAATCCCGCTTCTAAACTCTCATTATTATTATTATTATTATTACTATTACTATTATTATTATTTTTATTATCACTGCTCTCTCCGGTAATGGTGGTGTTATTATTCTGGTTAAATGTAAACTCCGGCAACATCTGTAATCGAACTTCAATGACATCATCTTGAATAGATTTACCAACCTTCTCTGTTAATATATTATTGTATTCAAATATCATTCGAGTATCAAAGTGAGGCGTTAAACCCTTTTCAGTTCTTGTATGCCATGATGTATTCTCAACACCAACTACAAATGATGTGAGAAGACCTTCTTTTTCTTTCTGTAAAGAAGATGGTAATAATGGTTCTCGTGGTAAATAACGTGCTTGTACAATTGTTAATAGAAGTAATTGTTGATTGGTATTATTGTAATTATTCTTCTTCTCATAATCATCATTAAACTCTTCTTCTTCTTCGTTATCCTCAATGTTTTCCTTGACGAAGTTATGCATATAGTTTAATTCCACACATCCAATCATCTCATCACCTTCTGTAGTTTCATCTGTGTTGAATGAGGAATATAATGCAAACAACTCTCTCCCTTTATTTTCTTTAAAGCAGCAAGATAAGTCAAGTCTAACAGAACCCACAAACTCTGCAGTCTCCACATCATTTTCGGATAAGGTATCATCTTTTATGGTTCGAGAGAGTAAAAGTTCAATGATTGGTAGTGGTGGACGATGTTGTCGTTTCATCATAAATGGTAATGAAGGCCAATGTAAATATAAACAATCCGTACTTTCTTCACACATCATCTCCTTATCTACAGATCTATTTGTTATTCGTGTGTTTGTTTCTTTTTCACTCTCAATAGCACCAGAAAGGGTATTATTTCTGCCTTTAAGCACCACTGGTGAATGAACTGTGATACCCCCACTATTATTATTATTATTATTATTATTATTATTATTACGATCAGGCATTCTCTCATTAACACCAACAATCCACCGCGGCGGTGTATCTTGTGCATAGGACTGTTGATATCTATTACTCAACACCACTACATATCCCAACGACAATTGCACGACTGTTGATAAATGTGAAGAGGCCCATGTCCATCGCTCTTCTTCTTTTTGTTGTTTTTTCTCTTCTTGTTGAGCCACACGGGCTGCAGAGATGTGTGTAGATAAAAGTCCACATTGTACAGTGCAGTGGGGCTGCAGGGATGATGGTTCAATGCGGATCACTCCATACCGGGGATGCTGAGAGGTGAGAAAATCTGTTTGATCCTCTCTCGACAGCAGAAGCTGACCAACACCAAGAATAACTATTTCATCTTTATTATTAATATTATTATTATTATTATTATTATTATTATTATTATTATTATTATTATTATTATTAGTCTCCAAAGGGAGTGAATGGAAGAGTGAAGTAGAATAACTCTTGTAGCGATGGCACACTTTTACACTAATGCGATCGCCCAGCGGTAAACAAACCGACTCATGCGCCTTTACAATAAATACAGAAGAATCAATAACACTATTCTTATTATTATTCTTTTTCTTATTATTAATATGGGTATCATTAACTGAGGGATTTACAAATGGCCACATCATTACTTCATGTGTGTAGTGATCCGAAGAGATCTGCAGAAATACATCCGGTGGTTGTCTTAAATGATATGAAAAAGGTGCCGTCCATCGTGTGCAGTGTAGTAACCAAGGCCAGATGAGTTCTAATTGATGTAATTGCAGCCAAAATACACCACAAGGTTCTCTTTGCAGTGGTAGAGACCAATTAGGCCGAAGACTCTCTCCAACTATTCGTAATGCCCGCTCACGTAATTCATCTACATTGCTGTTATTTCTGTAATTACTGTTGCTACCATAACTATAATTATAATAATAATAATAATTATTATTATTATTACTATTAAAGCACCAACGCAGCAGTAGAGCTCCGCAGTAGGGTGGTGTATCTTTTCGTGTAGCCACAACAGGGAACCACGCCTCTCCTGTTAAAGTGGTCCAGAAATACGAAGTGGCGAGACGGGGAATATTAATAACTCCCACACATTCCACAGCTGTAGGTGATGTCTCATCCACCGAGTTAAAGATTTGAATGAGTAGATGTGTTGTATGTGAAGTTACTGGCAATATACCAGTAGTGTTCCAGCGTGGATTATTCGAGACTACCACAGGAGTTGTAAATGAAGTTGTAATGTTGTTATTATTATTATTATTATTATTATTATTATTATTATTATTATTATTGGGTGGAGGAATCATTTGTGCCTTGGCGTAAACATGATTTCTATTATTATTATTGTTAATATTATTAGTGTTATTGTCATAACTTCTCTTGACTTGCGTGAACTCTCTATTTAAATCCGCCGCCTCCATAATCTCTAATTGCAGACAATTCCATTGCAATGGAATAGTAAAGTAAGGAGATGCGATGTATTTCGCTAATGTGAGTGGGGCGGGAGACAATAAAGGATGCTGCATGAACTCACGATAAGCCACACACGTGGAAGAGGATGTTTGTTGTCCCTCTGCAGGGAATATACATACATAACTGCAGTAAATCCATCCTACTCTCATTGATGATGATGACGCTAGTCCTACCTCACCATTATCTTCATTAGCGTGAAGAGATGAACTCCCATTACTGTAAAGTGGAATCCACATACGTCCCTCTTCTTCTTCTTCTTCTTCTTTCTCTTGTTGTTTGGTTAACATAAAGGGAGAAAAGATGGCACGTCCAAATACCACTTCTGGGGCAACGGGACTATGTAATGTGAGCAGCAGCACAGGATGAGTTTCATCAAAGGTTACGTGTATTCGAGTATCAAACATCATCACAGGAGCCCGTCGAAGTTCTTCATTCGTCGTGTAATGATGCATACATTCACCATCATTATTAACATCAACATCAGTATTATTAGTATTACTAGTAGTAGAAGTAATAAGATGATCACAACAATTACAAGTCATGGTTTTATTATCTCCTATAGTCTCTAGCAAAACCTCGCGTCCTCCACTCACTGAGAGTGTGACTAAAGGATACATCGCCCCACAATCCACATGATGAGATAAATGCTCCAATACCGCAACAGAGATATGCAGTACAACGGAACTCATTATTCTTTTACGTGATATTCCTTTCTTCTTCTGATTTAACTGTGAATATTGATAATCTATCAAGTGAGGTAGAGTTCTATTAAGAGGAGCAGCCGCACGTTCTTGTGCTCTTATCCATTCTTTATCATCTACAGCACCCACCACCTTTGGTGCTTGAGCTAGGGTCACATATACATTTATCCCCCGCCGCAGACCGGTGAGAAAAGGAAGACCGCATGTAAAGGCCGTATGTTCGGCTTCTTTACATAATGGAAGTAAATGTACACAAACAGCCATAGATGAAGCAAGGAGATCAGCAATAGGCAACAGTTTGGAGGCAGCAACGGGAGTCCATCGCAGTAACTTCTTCTCTTCTTCTGCAGTGGAAAGATGCCCCTTCGTATTATCTCTGTCATTAATGCTACTACTATTATTGTTGTTATTGTTGCTGTGGTCGTTATTATTATTATTATTATTATTATTATTATTATTATTATTATTATTATTATTATTATTATTATTATTATTATTATTATTAGTGTGGTCTGTAGAGACTGGAAGGAGTACCTGCAATTGCAGCGATACCACGGCAGCTGCAAGAATGGCATCCCCCACTGCAAGCACAATGTCTGTGCAACCGCTGCGGGAACAGACGGAACCGCGGAAAACAGAACCGCACGCCAACACACGGCGATGTGCACCGCAAAGAGTTAACCGCCATACACTATCCCTAGCGATACCAGCATCAGAACTACTACTATTATTATGATTATTATGATTATTATTATGACTATTATTACAATTCAGTGGTTTTATTCTACTGGATGATGTATCCATGTTGCCGTCACGATCTATAGACAAGTTCCCATGCCAAGGGGACATCTCAACAAACAGTAGCCATCGCACACTCTTATCAGTGTGGTGTGAAAGAGATTCAAAACCTCCCACAGTGTCGTTAGTCGGCACTTCAATGAGAGTCTCTTCTACACATTGTATTATATCTACACCGCTCTTAACAACGGAGGAACTGGAGGGAGAATCAACCACACTAGTAGTAACAGCAGCAGCAGCAGGAGGAACGGCAGGAACAGCAACAGAACTATCCACAGAATCATCAGCAACTATTAAAGAAGGTACCTTTTCAACAGAATGGGCATCAGAAACTTCATATGCTATCAGAGGTGTTAGATGATCAACACTCTTCTCAATAGTTTCCCTCAATGATGCCTTTTCTTCCATAGTACTTTCCAACCGCGGCAGTACGAAAAACGATATGAACACAGAGGTCACACCGTACTTGGATCCAGCTTCATTCACCACAAACTCTACCTTTTGTTGGCCATACTTCATGACCATAAGTTTTCCCTCAGCTATAAGCTTCCAATTGACTTTTTCTGTTAAAACATCAGTCTCATTGCTGTTACTGTCACTTTCACTACGTGATAGTGGAGAAAGAGCAAATGAAGAAGAATCATCAGTGGAGGAACCTTCTGATACTCCTTCTCTTGCGCATTGTTTTAATACCGGTAAGGTTTCCCGGAACCAGAGAGCGCAGACCAAGGTCAAGTCTTTGTAGGTTGAATCTTCCCCCATATGCACTTTTTCTTCTTCTTCTTGTTGACGTACAGTAAAGACAACATCCTGAAGATTTGTGTTGGTTAAACACGATGTTCGCTTGATACCTTCTACAGATGCCTCATCGCTCATCTGTGCAGATGAGACTACTTCTATATTGGGAGGAGCAGAAAATGACAAATGGCACACACCGTTGTTGCATTGCAGAGTATTGTCGATTCCCTTATCTTGTATATGTAGTTCCTGGTTCTCATTCACTGTTGTATGGGCTCCACACTGTAGAGCTTCTTCTGGTTGTACACCTATGTGTTGCACCTCTACAAGTGTGAGAATCATCAATGTCCCCTACAAAATAATCTTACAGCTGTGTGGTGTGATCACTTTCTTTTTATTTTTCTAACGTTTTTTTTTCTCTTTTTCTTTCTTTCTGTTATTCTTCTTTTCGTTTTATGTTGTTGCAGCAGGTGCTGCTGTTTTTTTTCTTTTCTTTCTTCTCTAGATATTTGAATATGTATATGTACCTCTCCTTTAATCACCTCTCTTCTTTCCTACGCAAAGAGACAAACAGAAATAAAAAGATAGTATAGTTCCTATCTCTACCCATGCAAACACAGAAATAAAATTAAAAAAAGAAAATAATTCCCGACAGTCTACTCGAGGACAATTTAACATATATCAATCATATACAGTTAGGGACACATAATCCAATTACCTTCCTCAAAAGTACCACAAGCGTAGACATGCCACGGTAGTTTTGAAAAGTGACACCTGGGACTTTAGAGGACTTCTCTGGACCTACAGGGATGCCGCTTAGTTAAAGGGAGAAGGGAATTCGGGTCTGATGATCCAAAAAAGGGTGTATTTCGTTTTTTCTACATTGACTTCCATAAAATAGTTTTTGGACCATTCGTCCCCTATGTTTAGTCCATTTTGCAGTGTAGTGTTTATGATGCCTCTGTTTACGTGAGAACATCAGCAAAAAAAAAAAAAAAAAATCCATGAAAAAATAAAGAAACCTACGATAATCGTTTGATTAGGGTGTTCATTACTGTAATGAACATAAGCTGGGCAAGAACAGTTCACTGTTTTATACCGCGGTTGAAGTGTATTAGGGGAGAGAGGATTTACTGTTTACTTGTACTTTGGCTTGTCGTCCTTTCAGGAAAGATGCTGACCATCGAATGATGTGCGATGGGAGTTCCATCTCTCGCATCGCACTAACTATTCGATCACGGTCTGCAGTATCGAAGGCATTGGTGTAATCTACGATTACTGCACCTGTACGCGAATCAAGGGTGGGTCTCGTGAGGGCTGCGCGTAGATGTAATAGTTGATCTCATGTGGAGTGGAGAGGCCTGAATCCAGATTGTTGCGGGGTCAATTTGCTTTCAATGACATCTCTAATTCGGGCTGCAATGATCCGCTCCATTAATTTGAACAGACAGCTAGTGAATGTAACTGGTCTGAACAAGTCGGTTAATTTCTTTCCTGATTTAAGAAGTGGTACAATGATACCTACTTTCCAAGAAACTGGAACTATACCAGTTCGGAGGCTCGCCTTGAAGAGGGCAAGAGTCTCCCCTTTGGCTCGAGGTCCCAAGTGTTGGAGTGCCACACTGTAGATACCATCCGGACCTGCGGCCCTCCCTTTAGGAAGGAGACGTTGTGCCCGTTCCTATTCTGCTGCTGTAATGGGGATGAATTCCGTATCGGTCACTGGAATGGACGGCAGTGAAGGGTAGGAATGTGGATGTTGTTTAGCTCTTCTGGAGAGTATAGGCGCGAATAAGGTATCCAATCCGGAGTGGATGAAAAAAAGGAATACGCGGGGCGGGGTTCGAACCCGCGACTTTCTGCGTGTAAAGCAGACATCATAACCACTAGATCACCCACGCCAATGGCCACACAAAAACAGTGCATTTTCGTTATGTATATTGTGTGTGTACGTGTTGTTGTTTTTAGTTTTCTTCTTCTTTTTCGGATTTACACACCATCACAAAGGCGTCATCCCATCACCGCAGTTCAGCTATATCAGAACTGAAACTGATATCGACCTCAATTTGCAGAGAACCTAAGGGGTTCAGACGTCGAGAGATGTTTATCATAATTCCCAATAAGTAACAAAAGTAATTCAAGGCATCATCTTTTATACACCGCTCCAAATAACAAAAACCAGACGTTATTAGTTCATACAGGGGACGATGAAAATGATGTGGGTTCTTTTTTTCTTTTTTTGAGGTAGAGTGGGGTGTAATATAGTTCTACTCTACAGCCATAAGAAAGAAACCGGAGCACATTTTTGGAAAAATATAATCCTATCAGAGGTACATCAATTATCTCAAATTGTACTCGCATTGGATGAAGGGTGGTACAACTCAAAAGATGCAGTACCGTTTCTTTGCATCCACCACGTTTGCCGGTGTGCAGGCGAGTAGGTTGATACCCGTGTTATAACATGCGCAGCAGAGTTAATCCTGATTCACTTATACACACTGACGGTTGCATGTTGGGCAAACTACTGCCGGAAGGTCTCTTGTTTTCGCCGCTTTCCTCTGGTTTTTTTTGGGGGATTTCGTTTCTGTTGGCATTCCTTGTCCATCATGGAATTTCCCGCCGCGGTAGATGGAAAAGGTGGCCAAGTGGACGTAGAACTTTTGGCAAACTCTCCCCATTGAAACCACCTGTCATCGTTCCCACGCTCTAGTGGTGGTGGTGGCGATGAATCTCGCTGGTGTTTCTTTTTATTTCAAGGAAACATCCCCTTCATTAATGACGTTGATAACCAGCGATGGTGAAACTTGACACTTCAGCGTGATAAAAGTTTCGTCCCACTAAGAAGGCAGTAAAAATCACATTATCATCAATAAGGGTTTTGTAAGGAGCAAGCCTCTTACCCTCTCCAAGAATACGGGGTACTGGAACCTGGGACCACAATAAGATATGGCTGAGATCACAGAAACACCGCTAGAGTATACACTTCCCCACTCCCAAGGTCCACCGTTGCTGGCGCAACAACCAAACTAATAATCCACAGACACACCAGCACGCCAGCAACGCAACGACACAGTTCCCCTTTCAGATACCGCCCCAGCGACCCCCGCAGGCCAAAGTCACTCGCAGCACGCGGACGGCACTGTGCCGCACAGCAAGAGTGCACACAGAGTCATGCCACCATTGGAGTGGTTGTTCTAAGGGCAAATAACGCACTACACACAGTGTCCTTTCAAGCAAGAACAGCAATTGCTATTCTGAAAGGAGCTTTGTGATCAATTTATAGACGCAGGGACGCATCCATTTTGGCTTTTTTTGTTTTTTTCTTTCTACAAGGGAAAATAAAAAAAGAAAACAAAAGGTTCTTATCGTTTGTAGAAGATGATGTTGACCAACTGCAGGTTTTAAAAATAAAACGTAATCAACCAATACACATCATATGATGGCAAAAAAGTAGAGAGTTCCCTTTTTACGCATTAGCTTTTTTCCACCCATCAAAACATTTCACTCAGCCCCTCCTCCGCATAAAATCAGAAATGAAGCCTATCGCGCAATGCCGAAACTGTGCATATATATAAAAAGAAATTATTGTAAAAAAAAAAAAAAAACTTCCAATCCCCATGGCAACTACAGACGTAGCCCCATGCCATTTGCCAAGAAAAAAAAGATGTTTTTTTCCATTCATTTTCCAAATCAAAATTTCGTCCTCAAAACTTTATACCTTATAAATATTTTTTCCCAATAAAAAGAAACTGCAGCACCATGCATACAGATGTATCTAATGTGTGCATTGACAAGCAAAATCATATAGCAAATGTTAACCTTTATGAAATTTAGTATAATGGAAAGCCCAGAGAGCGTATCACCATCAGAATAGAGGCGAGGCGACGCCCCTTGACCTTGCCGTCTGGGTCCGCACCTTGAGGGTGCTTCACAGAGGCACAGCCAAAGCAGCAGCAGCAGCCATCAGCAGAAATAGAGCGTGGAGAACACAGGCTGCAGCAGGAGTGCCATCCATACCCACATGAATCGAAAGCTCCCCTGGCACTTGCAGAGATGTATGATTATCCTTGTTTGTATTTCCCTCAGTCGTCGGCGGAACGTCAGCATCTGTCTCACTGTTACGGCGAGATCGTGACGACGAAGATGACGACGAGGAAGAGGAAGAGGAAGAGGAAGAAGAGGCACCAACGTCTTCACTTAGAGCCTTCTCGGCGCTAGTGGTGTTGTCCGCACCCTGACCACCCTGCGAGGGCCTGCTGCCAGAATTACTGTTGGTACTCTCACTTTCTGCATCAACTGTCTCATTTGGTTTTTCACTGAATTTTTCTTCTCCAGTGTTCGGAGCCGTGGTAGTTTCTTCATACCCTGGCGGGTACACCATCGGGCGGCGACTGCTGCCGTTAGGGGCGATGATGCACACCCCACTGTACTTGGGACACTGTACGCTGATGGTGGTACTGAATCCTGAGGGTTGCACATCCATTGAAGTGTTTTCCGGACACTCTTGCCAATCCTCACTTTCGTCGTATATCACCCTCACTTTACCCTCATCACACGAAACACGTGCACATATACCATACATATTTCCTAAATTTGATTCAATAGTTCCCTTGTAGTGTTGTGTATTCAAACACACTGAGTCGTTAGCAAAAATCGACGGAGTCACCTTGACCCGTGGTTGGTCGTTACACATCGTAGATATGCGAAAATTGTGTAAGGTATACATATGAATGCTCAATATAGGGGCAAAATTTACTTCACCATCAGAGTCATAGTAGTGAAATTGATAATCACAGTTCCCAAATCCAAGTTGATTATTTGTGCAAAAGTACGGACCCCCAAGCAACTTGCAAAACATGTTGGGATATTCATCAACGAATGTATCGTTGAAATTATTCTCAAGCAAATCACAACCGGAATTGTTGCCCCAGATCATCGACTCCTCCATGCCCCAATTAGCAGAATAATATGGTAGATCATCAAACACAGCCATCGTCAAGGCGCTGTAGTACATGGCGCTCTCAGCAATCGAAGAACTCATCAGGTCATCCTTTGCAACACGATAGTTCCAGTGTGATGAAACCTTTCCTTTTTCCCATTTTTCATACTCCAATTCCATGCCCTGAGCTGTATCGCATCCATAGTGTTTCTGTACCTTCTCCTTCGTTTGTTTTGACACCACCAGCATGCGCTTTTTTTTTCCATCGGCAAATGCGCTCTCAGCCACCATATTATTGTTCACAAACACATCATAGTCAAATCCAAGTGCGTGGGCAATCTCGTGTGCGGCACTACGAACAAAAAACTGTTGCGACCTCCTCGTGTATAGACAAAAATTTATCGCCCCAGCAATTGGTCGGCCATCATCATTTTTGGCGCAAATAACACCAAACTCCTTCAAATTTCTGGCAGCCACATAGAGGACCATGTCAGCATCCCTAACACCTTCTTTATGATGACTCTCAGGAACAGTAAAGTTCTTACAAACACTGTCCTCTTTAAACGCAGGAACAACCAATGGACTACTAACGGGGTCAACGAGCAGACGATCCGCGTGTAGTTTAATAGCAGCAGGAATAATGGTGTTGATATATTTGGAGATCATCTCGTCGGTAAAAGTATTACCATCTTCACACTTGACATCTTCGCCCTGGAAGTTTTGGATCATCTCTCCCACTTTACTGCAGTACTTGCCCTTGGTCAAGTCCTCGTAGGAGGCATGAATGCGGATAAACTTTCGGTTCTCTGTGGCGACGGTGTACGCCTGCGATGCGTCATCTCCATTGCGGGGAACCTGCAGCACAACTCCAGTCAACGACTCAGCGAGGATTCCACTCGTGCTGCACAGCTGTACAAATAGAAACAACAGCAGCAGGAGAAACAGTGAGACGTGCATCTGTCGGGTCATTGTCTTACAGTCGTGTATAATAGATATATAGGTATGCTTGCTTTGTGGTTTTTAAACAGTAAATCTACAAGAAACAAAGAAAAAAAAAAGAAAAGAGAGTATCGTAGTGCATGATATGCAGTTGCAAGACTCAGTTCATGCACAGCAACCATCACCCTTCTGTAATGTCAATTACAGGACCCTCTGCAACAATTGTCTGCATGAGGACTCATCACTCCAAGGTCCACAAGCAAGCAACAACAACACCCCATTAGAAGTACTACTCTGTCATTACAGTAGAAAAAAGAGCCCTTTCTCCCTGAACATGGCAATTATATGATGTCGACACGCGTGTAAGCCTTTGGGCTCACCGGTATTTCAACTCGAGATCCGCAAAAGGGCACAACACAGAACTAAGAAGAAGAGCAAAGGCAAACCAAATAATCATCCACCTACACTCCCCCAATGTCAGATTCAAAACACCTCAGAAGTACACGACAAAATCAATCATTCACCATCAACAACAAAGACGACAAGAGTTATGAGAGGAGAGTTGTTTACAACTTCCACAAGAGGGTCTAATACCCAACGGCATAGTGGTTCCCAACGGTCACTTTACAAGAGCCACTCCCTCTTTACACGCCTGTCTTTGAAGAAACATCGATCACAACATAACCTCCATACCTTTAACAAGACGGCCAGCAGCAGTTTGGTATCAACCTGGTCCCCAGAAAACATTCAACATATTCCTCTGCAAAACTCCCACGGCGGCACACGTTCAGCAAAGCATCACCTGGGACTCCTCACACGCCCTTGCACCCAAAAGCTGGCATCCTCAAGTGGGAAGTAAAAACAAACAAAAATGCAACACCGCGAAATGCAAAGCTAAACTGTCCTCAACACCAGCAGACAAACACTACAAGGGAAATGCAAGGAACTGTCATTTATTACGCGAAGCCAAAAAACAAGAGCATACATTATTTCTACTCCAAAAACTTAAAACATTTTACCGTAAGCATGTAACACTGAAGCCCATAGCACAAAACAAAAAAAAATCCATGAAAAAATAAAGAAACCTACGATAATCGTTTGATTAGGGTGTTCATTACTGTAATGAGCATAAGCGAAGCAAGAACAGTTCACTGTTTTATACCACGGTGGAAATGCATTAGGGGAGAGAGGATTTACTGTTTACTCGTACTTTGGCTTGTTGTCCTTTCAGGAAAGATGCTGACCATCAAATGTTGTGTGGTGGGAGTTCCATCTCTCGCATCGCACTAACTATTCGATCACGGTCTACAGTATCGAAGGCTTTGGCGTGATCTACGAATACTGCACTTGTACGCGAATCAGGGGTGGGTCTCGTGAGGGCTGCGCGTAGGTGCAATAGTTGACCTAATGTGGAGTGGAGAGGCCTGAATCCAGATTGTTGCGGGGTCAGTTTAATTTCAATAACATCTCCAATGCGGGCTGCAATGATCCGCTCCATTAATTTGGACAGACAGCTAGTGAGTGTAACTGGTCTGGACAAATCTAGATCTGTGGCTTTCTTCCCGGGCTTAAGGAGTGGTACAATGATGTCTACTTTCCAAGAAACTGGAACTATACCAGTTCGGAGGCTCGCCTTGAAGAGGGCAAGAGTCTCCCCTTTGGCTCGAGGTCCCAAGTGTTGGAGTGCCACACTGTAGATACCATCCGGACCTGCGGCCCTCCCTTTAGGAAGGAGACGTTGTGCCCGTTCCAGTTCTGCTGCTGTAATGGGGATGAATTCCGTATCGGTCACTGGAATGGACGGCAGTGAAGGGTAGGAATGTGGATGTTGTTTAGCTCTTCTGGAGAGTATAGGTGAATAAGGTATTCAATCCGGAGTGGATGAAAAAAAGGAATACGCGGGGCGGGGTTCGAACCCGCGACCTTCTGCGTGTAAAGCAGACATCATAACCACTAGATCACCCACGCCAATGGCCACACAAAAACAATGCGTTTTCGTTATGTATATTGTGTGTATGTACGTGTTGTTGTTTTTGGTTTTCTTCTTCTTTTTCGGATTTACACACCATCACAAAGGCGTCATCCCATCACCGCAGTTCAGCTATATCAGAGCTGATAACGACCTCAATTGGCAGAGAACCTAATGGGTTCAGACGTCGAGAGATATTTATCATAATTCCCAATAAGTAACAAAAGTAATTCAAGGCATCTTCTTCTTTTATACACCGCTCCAAATAACAAAAACTAGGCGTTATTAGTTCATACAAGGGACGATGAAAATGATGTGGTTTTTTTTTCTTTTTCTTTGTGGGGAGTGAGAAGACTGGGGTGTAATATATTTCTACTCTACAGCCATAAGAAAGAAGCCGGAGCACATTTTTGGAAAAATATAATCCTATCAGAGGTACATCAATTATCTCAAATTGTACTCGCATTGGATGAAGGGTGGTACAACTCAAAAGATGCAGTACCGTTTCTTTGCATTCACCGCGTTTGCCGGTGTGCAAGCGAGTAGGTTGATACCCGTGTTATGATATGCGCTGCAGAATTAGTCCTGATTCACTTATTACACACTCACAGTTGCATGTTGGGCAAACTAATGCCAGAAGGTCTCTTGTTTTCACCGCTTTCCTCTGGGGGTATTTGGGGGATTTCCTTTTTGTTAGCATTCCTTGTTCATCATGGAATTTTCCGCCGCGGTGGATGGAAAAGGAGGCTAAGTGGACGTAGAACTATTGGCAAACTCCCCATTGAAACCTGTCATCGTCCCCACGCTCCGGTGGTGGTGGTGGTGGCGATGAATCTCGCTGGTGTTTCTTTTTATTTCAAGTAAACATCACCTTTATTAATGACGTCGATAACCAACAATTGTGAAACTTGACACTTCAGCGTGATAAAGTTTCGTCTCACCAAGAAGGCAATAAAAATCACATTATCATCAATAAGGGTTTTGTAAGGAGCAAGCCTCTTACCTTCTCCAAGAATACGGGGTACTGGAACCTGGCACTGCAATAAAATATGGCCGAGATCACAGAAACCCCGCCAGAGTATACACTTCCCCACTCCCAAGGTCCACCTTTGCTGGTGCAGCAACCAAACTAATAATCCACAGACACACCAGCACACCAGCAACGCAACGAGGCAGCTTCCGTTTCAGATACCGCCCCAGCGACCCCTGCAGGCCAAAGTCACTCGCAGCACGCGGACGGCACTGTGCCGCACAGCAAGAGTGCACACAGAGTCATGCCACCATTGGGGTGGTTGTTCTAAGGGCAAACAACGCACTACACACAGTGTCCTTTCGAGCAAGAACAGCAATTGCTATTCTGAAAGGAGCTTTGTGATCAATTTATAGACGCAGGGAGGCATCCATTTTGGCTTTTTTTTGTTTTTTTTTTTTTCTTTCTACAAGGGAAATAAAAAAAAAGAAAACAAAAGGTTCTTATCGTTTGTAGAAGATGATGTTGACCAACTGCACGTTTTAAAAATAAAACGTAATCAACCAATACACATCATACGATGGCAAAAAAGTAGAGAGTTCCCTTTTTACGCATTAGTTTTTTCCACCCATTAAAACATTTCACTCAGCCCCTCCTCCGCATAAAATCAGAAATGAAGCCTATCGCGCAATGCCGAAACTGTGCATATATATAAAAAGAAATTATTGTAAAAAAAAAAAATTTCCAATCTCCATGGCAACTACAGATGTAGCCCCACGTCACTTGCCAAGAAAAAAAAAGATGTTTTTTCCATTCATTATCCAAATCAAAATTTGTCCTCAAAACTTTATACCTTATAAATATTTTTTCCAAATAAAAAGAAACTGCAGCACCATGCATACAGATGTATCCAATGTGTGCATTGACAAGCAAAATCATATAGCAAATGTTAACCTTTATGAAATTTAGTATAATGGAAAGCCCAGAGAGCGTATCACCATCAGAATAGAGGCGAGGCGACGCCCCTTGACCTTGCCGTCTGGGTCCGCACCTTGAGGGTGCTTCACAGAGGCACAGCCAAAGCAGCAGCAGCAGCCATCAGCAGAAATAGAGCGTGGAGAACACAGGCTGCAGCAGGAGTACCATCCATACCCACATGAATCGAATTGTTCCCTCCCCCTTGGGAAGATGTAACATTATCCTTGTTTATATTTCCCTCAGTCGTCGACGGAACGTCAACGTTTGTCCCACCCTGCGAGGGCCCGCTGCTGTCAGAATTATTGTTGGTACTCCCACTTTCTGCACCAACTGTCTCATTTTGATTTTCAGTGGATTCTTCTTTTCCAGTGTTCGTATCCGTGGTAGTTTCTTCATTCCATGACGGGTAAACCATCGGGCGGAGACTGCTGCCGTTAGGGGCGACGGTGCACACCTCACTGTACTTGGGACATGTGATTTTCTTGCCTACGAATGAGGTCGATGAAACATCCAGTGTAGTGTTTTCGGGGCATTTATGCCATGCCTCGTTGCCAGCGTACATCACTTCCACTTCATTACCCTCGCACTTCACTCGTGCACACACACCAGTGAAAGGGAATTTATCTGTTCCAACACTTCTTTTGTATTCTTCTGTATCCAAACAGAATGAATCATTGCCAAAGACCGACCCTTCCTCTTCGGATGTATTTTCAGAATAGCATAACGTACTTCCACTGGTACCTGAATTATACAACTCACCTCTCACAAAAGCAGCATCGATATAACTTTTGCCAGTAGAGTCAGGGTAGTGTTCACCCAGGTCACAGCTCCCAAGTGCTCTTCGATCAGTTGTGCATGTGTACGAACCTCCAGTTTTGCAAAACATTTTGGGATATTTTTCAACGAATGTATCTTTTTGGAAATTATTATCAAGCAAATCACAATCGGAATTGTTGCCCCAGGTCATCGGCTCCGCCCTATCCCAATTAACAGAATAATACTTGAGGTCTTCAAACACAGACATCGTCAAGGCAGTGTAGTACATGCCGCCAAAGTTATACCGAGATGACATCAGATCATCCTTTGCAACACGATAGTTCCAGTGCGATGAAACCTTTCCTTCTTTTTCCCATTTCCATTCTTTGTTGTACTCCAATTCCATGCCCTGAGATGTATTGCAACCATAGTGTTCCTGTACCTTCTCCTTCGTTTTGCTTGAGTTCACCAGCACGCGCTTTTTTCCATCGGTAAAGTCCTTCTCAAGCACCATACTGTAGTTCTTAAACACATTATAGTCAAATCCAAGTACATGCGCAATATCATGTGCCAAAATACGAACATAATACCGTTGCGACTTCTCCAAATAGAAAGAACGGATGTTTAACGCTCCGGCAATCGGTCGGCCAGCATTATTTCTGGCGCATACTTCATGAATGTTTTCCACAGGTTTGGCAGCCACATAGAGTACCATGTCAGTATTATTGACACCGTCAGAATGGTGTTCCTTAGGAACAGAAAAGTTATTGCAAATATTCGTCTCATTAAACTCAGGAACCTTCAACGGACCTTCCACAGGATCAACGAGCAGACGATCCGCGTGTAGTTTAATGGCAGCAGGAATAATGGTCTGGACAAATGAGGAGATCATCTCATCGGTAAAAAGATCATGGTCTTCGCAATCATGTTTTTCTCCCTTGAAATTTGGGATCGATTCTCCGACCACAGTGCAGTACTTGCCTTTTTCCAAGTCCAGTGTTGAGGCATTTATGCGGATAAACTTTCGGTCCTCCACTGCGACGGTGTACGCCTGCGATGCGCTCTCTCCCTTGCGGGGCAACTCCAACACAACTCCTCCAGTCGACGGCTCGGCGAGGATTCCACTCGTGCTGCACAACTGTACAAATAGAAACAACAGCAGCAGGAGAAGCAGTGAGACGTGCATCTGTCGGGTCATTGTCTTACAGTCGTGTATAATGGATATATAGGTATGCTTGCCTTGTGGTTTTTAAACAGTCAATCTACAAGAAACAAGAAAAGAAAGAAAAAGAAAATAAGAAAAGAGAGTATCGTAGTGCATGGTATGCAGTTGCAAGACTCAGTTCATGTACAGCAACCATCACCCTTCTTTAAATTCAAGTACAGACCCTCTGCAACAATTGTCTGCATGAGGACTCATCACTCCAAGGTCCACAAGCAAGCAACAACAACACCCCATTAGAAGTACTACTCTGTCATTACAGTAGAAAAAAGAGCCCTTTCTCCCTGAACATGGCAATTATATGATGTCGATACGCATGTAAGCCTTTGGGCTCACCGGTATTTCAACTCGAGATCCGCAAAAGGGCACAACACAGAACTAAGAAGAAGAGCAAAGACAAACCAAATAATCATCCACCTACACTCCCCCAATGTCAGATTCAAAACACCTCAGAAGTACACGACAAAATCAATCATTCACCATCAACAACAAAGACGACAAGAGTTATGAGAGGAGAGTTGTTTACAACTTCCACAAGAGGGTCTAATACCCAACGGCATAGTGGTTCCCAACGGTCACTTTACAAGAGCCACACCCTCTTTACACGCCTGTCTTTGAAGAAACATCGATCACAACATAACCTCCATACCTTCAACAAGACGGCCAGCAGCAGTTTGGTATTAACCTGGTCTCCAGAAAACATTCAACATATTCCTCTGCAAAACCCCACGGCGGCACACGTTCAGCAAAGCATCACCTGGGACTCCTCACACGCCCTTGCACCCAAGAGCTGGCGACCCCAAGTGGGAAGTAAAAACAAACAAAAATGCAACACCGCGAAATGTAAAGCCAAACTGTCCTGAACACCAGCAGACAAACACTACAAGGGAAATGCAAGGAACTGTCATTTATTACGCGAAGCCAAAAAACAAGAGCATCCATTATTTCTACTCCACAACCTTAAAACACTTTACCGTAAGCATGTAACACTGAAGCCCATAGCACAAAACAAAAAAAAAAAAATAAACAAATTGCGAGAAGCAAAAGTGCATATGGAGGACGTGGTATATTTTCCACAGCAGCAACAACAGCGTCGACATGCTGCTGTCGAAAGAGAAAAAAATGATTAATTTACTCCACTCACTTTTAAAAAAGAAAAACAAACAACCTTCATGAATGCGACTGTATTACTTTGGATTGGTCAGACACACACACACGCCTTGTACGTAGTAATTCGAGGGAGGAGGCAGTGGGATACCCTTCAGCTCTCCTACGCGGATACGCATTTAACTCTCCACATCCCTCATCACAGAGGTCCCATCCACAGCTTCACGAACCCCAAGATTCTTCTCTTCCAGAAGTATGAGGACTGTAAGCAGCTGAAGTTGGAGTAGACCGTAAAGGTGCTGAATTCAAAAGAGAATCAACAACTCAATTTAAAAATTTTCATCCAGGTTGAAAAAGATGGACGAGTAGGGGATTGAACCCTAGGCCTCCTGTATGCAAAACAGGCGCTCTACCACTGAGCTACACGCCCCGATGACTCCTCTCATCGTGAGAGCACAACCGCTATTTTTTTCTTTAAATGATAACCCCTCGCCTTATTCGGATAATGTTTATAATAATAATAATTTTCTCCCCCCAAAATAGATTACAGAATTTGTTTTTTTTTTTTTTGGTGTTATTTGGAGTTAACGAAGTTGCCCTCAAAATAATAATAATAATAATAAAGGATTCTGTTTAGAGTTTAAGTCTTCTCTTTATTATTAGTGGTTTTTTAAGGTTACCTGAAAATAGAGCTTTTCATTGAAAACTTGATTTGAGACTATTTCAATTGTATCAAGATTGCATGCCCTTCACAAAGAAGAATAATCAAAGAGAAGAAAAGGAAAATGTTATTTTTGTTTAATGGTAGTTTCTACATCTCCTTTAGTAAAGAAAATAATTATTAATGATATTCCCAGGAATAATAATAATAATAACAATTACAAATAACCAAACGCAACGTTCATCAATATATTATATGCTTAAATTCCACATAGATATTCCCTTTCATCAGTTTTTTTTTTTTAGAAATCGGATACGCTTTCATTGACAACCCAAACGCAAAAAAAAAGAAAGAATTAAAAACACTGTAAAACACGCTAGCACTGACAACCCAAACTCAAAAAAAAAAGAAAGAATTAAAAGCTGTAAAAAAAAAAAAAAAATTGGTGAAGTTAGTTCTTCACCAAAGGACCTTTTAGTGCCATGAAGACAGACTTGGTCTCTGTATAATGCTGAAGAGCTTGATCACCCAATTCCCTACCAATACCACTTTGTTTAAATCCACCAAATGGCATAGAAGCATCAAAGCAATTCCAGCAATTTACCCACACTGTACCAGCTTTCAAAAATGAGGAGCAGTACATAATCTTTTCAATATCAGGCGTGCAAATACCAGCAGCGAGTCCATATGTTGTGTTGTTAGCGCGTTCAATAACCTCATCCATCGTTTTAAATTTTATTACACATACCACAGGACCAAAGATCTCCTCACGTACAATCGTCATGTTATCATTTACCCCTGCAAATACGGTGGGTTTCACAAAGTATCCACGCCCAGCACACCGTTCTCCACCTGTTACCACAATACCTCCTTCTTTCTTACCCTTTTCAATGTATTCAAGGACACGTTGATGTTGCCTTGCAGAGATAAGTGGTCCAAGATCATTAGCAGGATCATTACCAGGACCAATGCGGCGGGACTCTGCCAACACCCGAAGTTTCGCCAGAAATGCATCATGTACACTCTCATGAACAAATATCCGGGATGATGCTGTGCAGACTTGTCCCATATTAAAGTAAATACCATGCGATGCTACATCGGCGGCAGCATCAAGATCGGCATCTTCAAAGACAATAAGTGGTGATTTTCCACCCAACTCCAGTGTTACCCGCTTTAAGTTACTCTCCGCCGCCATTCGCATAATTTGATGCCCCACAACAGTAGATCCTGTAAAGGCAATTTTATCCACATCCTGGTGAAGTGCCAGTCGTGCCCCGGCGGTTGCCCCGTAGCCTGGGAGAATATTTAACACACCTGCTGGATAACCGGCTTCCATGGCGAGTTCACCGAGACGCAGTGCCCCCAGTGGGGTTTGCTCAGCGGGTTTAAGTACAACAGCATTACCCATTGCCAACGCTGGTGCGAGTTTCCATGCTGCCATTAGGAGTGGGAAGTTCCAAGGGATAATTTGTCCACACACACCCACAGGCTCACGCTTTAAGAAGGCAAAGTTCTTTCCAGAAACAGGGAGAACTTGACCACAGACCTTATCTGCCCATCCAGCGTAGTAGCGGAAACATTCCTCCACCAACATTAAATCAACATTAAGGGCTACCGTATAGGGTTTACCATTATCAAGACATTCAATAGCCGCAAGTTCTTCACGATGTCGGTGAATAGCATCAGCGAGTTTAAGCATGAGAGCACGACGGTAGGCTCCATCTGTGGTGCGGTATTCATTAAATGCCTTGCGGGCTGCAGTAACGGCGATATCTACATCCGCCTCCGCCGCCTCCGCCACGTGTGCACAAACCTCCTCCGTTGCTGGATTCACCACATCAAATGTTTTTCCCGAAACCGCAGGTACAAATCTGCCGTTGATAAGTAACTTGTCTTGCAAGCGCTTAATAACAGGCGGTTTGTTGGTAAAGAACTTTGTGGTAGCGCGGAACATGTGTCTGTTTTACCTGATATATAAAAAAGAAAGAAAAAAACAAACATGTCATGGAATTAAATGAAAATAACAGTAGAGATTCAAGTTCATATGTGGTAACCATCAATGATAATGATAAAACAAAAACGAAGAAAATAATGGCACAGGGTTTCCCTTTCTTTTTTTTTTTTTTTCTTCCAACCACTTTAACTCAGATCCCTCTGCCTTCAATGTACGTATATACCTTTCTTTCTCTCTCTCCCTCTCTCCCTCTCTCCCTTCTCGTGATAGCAAAAGAGTAAAAGAGAGAGATATATTCCCCCGCATTTTTTTAAAAAAATGAGAATAACAACAGAAAAAAAAAGGAGCTAAACTCCTGCCTTGAGGCAGTATAAAGATAATATCTTCTTCCTCCTCCTCTCCCTCTTCTTATTCCCTTGCAAATAATAAAAAAAAGGAATCTATTTCGCTAAATAAATAAATGACTCATTGTATTTTTCAAAAAAACAAGAATCAGTCCTAAACGCAAATGGTTTTCCTAATACTACATAGCGCGAATAGTTCCCCCTTGACCCATATTGCTCCTACTACCATACGTATTCTCCTTTATTATTTTTTTTTTCTTTTTTTTTCTCTCATTTGCGTAAATATCATTTAACAATTAACTGAAAGCTCTAAGAATTCAGAAATAAACTCATTTCCATGCACAACGGAAAAAAAAAAAACAACGATTCACATACATATGTACCCTACAGGCATAGCTGTAAGATAATATAATAATAATAATAATAATAATAATAATAATAAAAACACACACAAAAAAGAAAAAAATGGTAATATGGGATAATAAGAAATTAAGGAACGGATAGAGTGAAAAGGGCAAATTCAGTGTGTTTATCGCTTTCTTTTTCCCTTCTCCCCCCTTTATCTCGCTTATTTCGTATAATAGGAGCGCAAGAAAAAAAAAGGAAAAGAAGGGAAAAAAAAAGGACGGAAGAGTGTTCCCACACCTATTTTCACCTTTCCCCGTGTACTCTCCAGGGAGTAGAAATACAAGAAAACAAACAAACAAACACAAAAAAAAAAAGATCTGGTGGTAGACAGATAAGGGGTAATGTTTTCTCTTTCTCTTCTCGCTGGTATTACTAGTACTTCTGCTATTTCCCTTCCACTACTATCATACCACCTGATACAAATCACATTTCTCTCTTCCATAAATATATATCATCTCTCTCTCTACAATTACTCGGCCCTATTCTTCTCTCTCTTTTCTTCTTTCTTTCTTTCTTTCTTTCTTTCCTTCTTCTTTTCTGTTTATTAAGCCGGAATGTAGAACTTGTGTCTGCCAGAGGAGGAGGCCTCACCAATTACTGTGGCGTACTGATCACTGTACTGCCAGACGTGGGACATGTGATCCCACGGGGAGTTGTTAATGGCCTCCTCCCACTCCTTATTCACCACCTTACGCCAGGTCGGGTTATTCGCCGGTGTGTAGACACAATAGTAATAGCGGAGAACAGAGAAGATGGCACTGCCAAGCACCGCCAATGCGCCTGCCACTTTAATCGCCGCATAGCGTGGCAGTTTATTTCCCTCACCAAAGAATTTATCCGAGACTCGCATAGCGACAACGGTGTCCACGGCATCTTTATATTGTTGGGGATCTTTAAAGTGGGCGAGGGCCTCTGGATGATAATAAACCTCCCGGCGTACATTCAGAACGGAGCGGAATGAGAAGGAACTCATGTTTGGCACTCGAGAGCGGAACTCTGCGAGGGTTGTGGCGGGAGCCCAAGCACCAAATGGACGTGGCATTTTTTTTTCTTTTCTTCTTCTTTTTTTTCTTTATGTAAATAAATAAATATAAATATGTTTGTTAGACGCTTTAAAGTATACTTTTCTTTTTTTCTTTTTTTCGTTTTAATCTGTCCGTTTATTTTTTTTCTCTTTCTTGCACGGTAGAGATAGCAGCAGGGCCTAATACTATAAGCATTTGAGGAGAAATGGATTCATAAAAAAAGGAAAAAAAAAGGGAATGAATGAAAAACCATTTTGAATGGATCACCAATATATATATATATATATATATATATATATATATATATATATA